ATTTTAATAATAGGTGGTTAGTCACAATTTTTTAGGAATCTTGGCCGAATTGTGAATTTTTGCTTCCTATTTAGTGACACTATATATATAAAGAATGTAACATACACAACGAACATGAAAAAAAAAATTACCGAAGTCAGGATTAATAACCCTACACAGTTTATCTATAACAAGCTTATTAATACTAGTGTTATCAAACATAAAAGAACAAGTTTTACTATAACAATGATATTTTTTTTAAATTTGCATAAGAGCATTAAGATGTTATTAGCATTATGAGGAAATTCAATTATCTTAAAAAAAAAAAATTTTATGCATTACTCAAAGTAAATCTATGTAGTGTGTAGTTGCAGCTATATAATTCATTTTCTAATTAATGCATTCCCATAAATCCAAAGTAAACGATATAACATCAATATATTTATGTAAATGATAGATCAATTGATTCTTGATTTTGATGAAATAATCTAGAGTATTATTACAAAGAGTGTTCTATTTACAACAGCTTATATTTGTTGAAGATATTATTTTACGAATGTTGTGAAATGATCGTCATCTACCATGTTTAGCGACAACTCAGCACAAGCAACAAACTTTATCACTTCTTCATGAGTTTTTTCGTCTGAATACATCTATGTGCTAAGTCTACAGAATCAAAATCGGAACAATGAGTACTAAGTTGTAGTTATGTTTAAGATCCACCAACAAGCCAATGTTTGGCTGTACATTAAGGTAGTGATGGTTGGGTGGCTAGTACTGATACCCTTTCGTCATGCCAATCGTGTTTGACAATATTTACACACTATTTTACACTTTTGAACTCCGTCGACTGTACAACTCATTTGGATCCATTTAAAGTGTTCCTAACGCTTTGCAACTTTCTTCCCTTTTTTTTGGTTCATAAGAGTAAGCAACAAACTAATCAAAGATACCGAGAGTAAAGATATGTTGCTAAGAATGATTCTGATGTATCTATTCCACCATATGAAAGAATAACAAGAAATAGAGATAAAACCAAGTAGAGATGAATACTGTATGGTAGCGGCATGAAATTCTTTGACGTTGAATTAGGATATTCAGGAAGAACAAGTTGTTCCAGCTTGATACCATTAGAATTCCTGACTATTTGCATGGGAATAGGTTCATCTTCGAAGTATTTTTCCCTTCCAATATTTTTCTATTGGAGTTTTCCTTATTTATTTTATCGAGCATAATGATGCAAATAGGGTTTTAATGAGTTCTAATATGGGACATCAAACAGTTTCGCTTTATCGGCCCAAAAAATGCATTGTAGGAAATGGGTTAGAATGACAAGCAGCTCTACTACGAGTGAAAGGGAAAATGTAAAGACTACCATTAAAGCAGCCCAAGCGAGACTTACTATATCGATGGGAGTTACATCCCCTACCTCTATAAATATGAAGAAATTATTCCATTATTCCTTTCTAATAATAGTGAAATCAATGGTGCATAGTCAAAAAGGGATTCTGAACGAACACTATTGAGAAACCAATCCAATAAATGATTCTTTTGTTAATTGTAAAAGATTAAACACAAGCAAAATACGTTGTAACATCACAAGGGAATGGGATGATAATGGACAATTTCTATTTTGTTTTGTTACTCATTTTTTTTTATCATCACAATATCTTTCTCGTAGTTATTCTATTCCTGGCTATGGGGTCGATCGAATTTTTTAGAAATATTGGATATTTTCATAGAAAAGGAATTCTTTCGTCTCAAAATCTCAATAATATTCATTCCTTAAAGTGCTTCTTTCATTCATTTAGAGACACTTATTTTGAATTTGACCAATTGAGATATCTTAAAACAATATTTTTTTTTATTATTTCTTCATTAAAATTTGGAGTGAAATCTTAGTCTATTTCTGTATTCTTTCTAGATTCAAACAAAATCACAAATAAAATAGATTCATAGGCTTGATAGCTCGTATAGAACTCATTGGTGAAACAAATATTCGATAGATCACATAGAGCTGACAAGTGAGTTGGGTTGATTACCAATTCACAGATGAAAAAATGTCAAAAAATAAAGCATTCACTCATCTTTGTATCTTGCATCTATAGTATTTTTGCACTAAAGGATTTTTCTCTCGTTTACGAAAAGTATGGATTCTTTGGTTATTAATTGGTGGAATACTGGGCAATCTAAATTTTTTTTTGAATGATATTCAAGAAAAGAGTATTCTAAAAAAGTTCATAGAATTAGAGGAAATTCTCTTCTTAGACGAAATGATCAAGGAATACTCAGAGACCCATTTACAAAAGCTCGGTATAGGAATCCACAAAGAAATGATCTAATTAATCAAGATACACAATGAGGATCGTATCCATACAATTTTGCACTTCTCAACAAATATAATCTGTTTTGTTATTTTAAGTTGTTATTCTGTTTTTGATAATGAAGAACTTTGTTATTCTTAACTCTTGGGCTCAAGAGTTTCTATATAACTTAAGCAACACTGTAAAAGTTTTTTCAATTCTTTTATCAATGGATTTATATATCGGATTCCATTCACCCCACGATTGAGAACTAATTATTAGCTCTGTCTACAAAGATTTTGGATTTGTTCATTATGATCAAGTTATATCTGGTCTTGTTTCCACTTTTCCAGTCATTCTCGATACTATTTTAAAATATTGGATTTGTTGTTATTTAAATCGTATATCTCTATCGCTTGTAGTTATTTATCTTCAATGAATGTTGCACGTAAACACTGGCTATACAACTTGTTCGAAAAAAAAAAAAGGGTTGTCCATGTGGGTTGACCCAACTTGGTTTGCATGAAAATGAATTTTGAAAGGAGGAGTTGAAAATTAAATTTGAAAGTTGACATCTCTCAATCAATAACTTCTATATACACCCACTCCACAAAAAATAAAAATAATAATAATAATAAACAACCAACACTCATGGAAAAATTTGGGTTCTTTCAAAGAGTGAAAAATTAGATGTGGGTGGAGACTTGATTTTTAGGAATATAACAGATCAAATTGAGTTCTTAGATTGTGAACTACAAACCTCTTCCTTGATGATCGAGTTTTTAACCAAGAAGCGGGTACAAGACGATGTTGAAGGCAAGCAATTAATAGGCAAGTAATTCAACCTTGTTTTGGGACTTTCAAGTAAGTTTTACGACTTAAATTCAGTTAAAAGCATACAAGCACGTTTTACATTGGTATCAGAGCTTAAGTAGGTTCTTTTCTTGCTTAAACACATGCTAAAAATGTTTTAGAATGATTGAAATGCATGAATTCCAGTTTTCTTTGAAAGCTATAATGTTGTTAATGACAACTTTTCATGTATTCCATATAAATTCATGAAACTTATACTATATGTTCAAGATAATCTGTCGAACATATCTGCAAAATTTCACTTGATTTAGCTTTGTATTTTCGGATTAAAATCCCAATTTGAGAAAATCGAAACTTGATCGCATGATAACTTCATACACATTACAGTTAACGTTGCTTGCTTTATATAGTTGGATAGATCTTCTCAAGACCTTTGCAACAATATAAAGAACATAAAATTTGGCCTTGAATTAAAGAGGTTACAGCCTTCCAAGTTTTTAAGAAAAAACTGAAAAACTACCGATTTTGTGGAGATGATTAACAATAACAGTTTTTTTAATATCAATCTCGGCGAGGCCTCTCTCTATCCCAAACACAGCCTTAAAGATTGATGTTGTGAAATTTGACCACACATGAATTCAGAACATCGAAATTAATCGAAAAGACTAAACAAAAAAATTAGGGATCAAATTGTGGCACGTGGCACGCACCCGCCGCGACTATGCAGGGACGCTAATGCTCCCTGATTTTATTTTAATACTAGTGGTGTATCGGGCATTGCACGATGATTGTTATATTTTTGTAAGTTAATCTGTTAAAAAGACAAGATATTTTAAAAATTTTAAACATATACTTATGTAGACTTAGAATGAACAATTATAAATATACATTAAGTGGTAAACGATAAAGAGTGTTTATGGTCATAATGATTATGGTATCAATAAGAAACCAAATTTGAAGGAAAGATTATCAAATTCACACTGATCGAAAAAAAAAACAAAAACAAAAAAAGTTCATGTTGTTAAAACAATCTATTTCCTAACATCCAATTTCTATTAAATAGAAAATAAAAGGATAATAAGTTACATATTCAAATGCCATTGAAACACCAATATGTTTAAAATAAATAGAAAATCATATGGTACAACGTAAAATATTTAGCTACTATCATCACATCCAAGGAGACAGGAGAATTTGTAGAAATAGTTTCAAAGTTTTCTTCAGTAATTTTGTCGATGTCTTCAGCACTATATGTTTCTTTGTTGCAAAGTACATGTAAGAATGAAACACACCATCCTTGAAGATATGAAAGTGTCTTGATTGTGGTCTCTCGAGGTTTCGTAGCAAGCTTTGTCGCTAGTACAATCTAATATAGTCCAACAATAAGTTTTCCATAAGATAGGAAACAAAATAAAAAGGAGTTTGAACTATATAAATGAAAATTATATAATGTGCAACACCATCACCTTTCTCAACATAGAATTATATCATCCATCATGTGGAAACTATGTCAAAAAACATATAGGTGAGCTATGACTATGAAAAAAGTTTTACTAGCGGGAACTCGAAAGTCAATTGCATGAATAGGGTCAAGTTCAATGAGCTCTGCAAAGACAAATTGAGTCATCACAAATATTGCATGTCGATGAAACGATAAAATTACTTTAAAGTGGTAGGAGTTGATAGTATAAAAAAATGCGCCATAAGAACAAATACATCACAAAGGATTACAGGAAAGTAATTAATCAACTTCCCCAAATTCAGTTGCAATGTGTTATTCATAGTGAAAAGTAACTTGAGCAAGTTTTATCCGCAGAATTTTATGAAAAATTAATCAAAAAAATTTTAAAAAAATCTTTTAATGCATTCTCAATCTTATACTTTTTTTTGGAGGGGACAATAGAAGAAAAAAGCAAAGAACTGATATGAAAGTCTTTTGATACCCTGGGGAAGTTCATATGAAATGCAGCCATTATGGCAAAATGTAGGCAAGAGGTTTTTTATAAAAGTATAAGCCTTCAAACTGTTTGGAATAGTTTTAACCACAAGAATGCCATTCTTTTGAATGACGATGATATAAAACTCAACGAAGTTCAAATGTACGATTTCATTATATATGTTAATTAGAAATACTAAAACCAAATTTCTATAACGACTTTGTTCAAAATAAATAAAATGTACAAATTGAGTGCAAATTTGAAATAAAAATAACACAAGCAAATTAAAGATCCAAATCCTAATGGATTTACTTATGGGGTGTTCATACATAAGAAAACAAAACAAATGTTCGATAATCAGTAAACATGAAAGGTACAAATGAAAATGTACAATTCATGTAAGGAAGGCATAAAGTTGCAAGCTAAAAATATCTTGAAAATTCATTCAACCATATCTACCAGTACCACCACCATTGGCAACATGCTGCTTATGTCCCTCTTTATCGTACCTATCATATATCCTCCTATTTTCACCATCCAATAACACTATAAAACAAATCAAATTGCTTGCAATCATTTTACTCATCATGAATCCTAATTCAATTTAAAAATAGAAGTAAGCGATATGCCCTATATTCAAAAGCTAGCTATGAAATTTCTTCAACGCCATGATCCAAACATATCTATATCGTATCCACAATCAATGTTGTTAAAAGGAGAAAAAATATCTACAAAGAACTCTAGTTGACTATGCCAATGATTTTATATATATAAAAGAATCAACACGAACAATAAAATATGTCGTATTACACGTAATAGCCATTTTTATTTAATGAGATCTTATTCACATAATGTCAGAATTATGTTGGCTCATCAAATAAAGTGAAATGTATTCACAAAGCATTCTGTCAAAACAATTTGCAAAAGACGGCTAAGAGTTGTAAAGATCAAATCATTAAGTAAAAATACCCAAAAGAACCCAATTTTTCTTATTGTATAATTAGCTTAAATTTTATACTATAGACAGTAAGTTCTGAGGCCATATAAGTATACCAACATAAACTCCTTAAATTTTGCTAGCTTCTATTCGAACTCCAATCCCAATTGCAAAATATCCTTCTATAACCTATGTCAATTGTTTTTTACTTCAATGAAGAAATAAGTCATCAATATCACGAACTTTTCATTCATCCAACTAAACAAATTCTTCTATTCAGGTTACACTCTTTTTACTTACATTCTAGTCACAGAAGTTACAGTTCAAAAAACCTTACTAACATTAGCTACATGAAGAACTAATAGCATAAGCAGCAGAATTGTACTATAAAGGTAGATTTGATAAAGAATCTACAAAATAACATTTTACATTTCCTAAAGAGGTGTTGACATTACACAGGGAAACAATAGCAAGTAATTTATTAATTGATGATAGTAGGTAGAAATTAAGCGGAAGAAAGAGAGACTAAAAATGGAAAAGTAAGATGTATACTAAAAACTCATCCTCAATCCCAGGCATAAGAGTAAGCAACATTGAATACGGTTATACTATTCACCAAATCAGTTGAATTCAGAGCAATATGACCACTAAAGATTCAGACTTTTTATAATATAAAGCAAATCAAACAGTCTCAATTAAATTATAACCAGACCCACATGATTAAAATCTATAAAATAAACGTACCTTAGCTAAACAATGTCCCATTTTTTATGGTGAAAATGAAATTTCAACAGCAGTATCCTGAAAGATAAAACAATTACATAAAATATTCCAGACTAATACGCTAAAATTGGAAATACCAACCGCAAAGGCCAAGGAATCATCCTCGATTGAGCATGAAATTTAAAACATTTACTTAAATACCAGAATCAATCAATCAGAAAATGTATAAAACGGAAAACCAGAACTTTCTATTCTCATTTGAAAAGGAAAATTAGCTCGAGTTGTCAAAAAATATAGGCAGGCGGCGAGTGCGATAGTAAATCCAAAAACCTAGACTTACATCGACGACGTTTTGAAGCTTCCAAGAAATGGGAACCAATCTTTCATTTTGTATTCTTTCATTTCACCACCAGACATTCAAGATTCAGATTACTTCCCTTCAGTAGCTAATAAATGAAAGTATTCCCGAGAGGTCTTTCACTCTTAGCGTTCCAGCAAAAGAATAATGAAAAACTTTGGTGAAATTAAACAAAAAATCGTGGGAGAAAGAAATAGAAAAGAGAAAAGAAATAAAGAGAAGATTTGCACATTACAAATGATTGTCTGGGAAGAGGTATGGGAGGAACTGTGGACAATGGAGATTGACCGAGAGAAGAGAAAGAAATCCTATGAAAATGCAATGACATGATGTTAGAGAAAAGATGAGGGATAAAATTGGTAGAAAATGTATGACGCCTTATGAATAGTGGCAACAAGTTCTCTCTTATAAGATTGTAGGGATCATGCAACTCCATCGAATGCTTTTTAAGAAAGACCTAAGACATTAAATCTGTTAGCAACTAAACTTTGAAATAAATTGGCAAAGGACAACCGTGCCTATTTTTTCATCATTTTCGTGCATAGGATTTGGTAGACCAATGGCACTACATTTTAAAAATGGAATATGAAGAAAATTTGCTTACTGGGTGACGCCAAAACATATCTTTAGACCTTTGATCCACATTCCATTCTCACATCATTGCTTTTTCCTGAAAGAGAGAATAAATATGAGTATTATATGTGTAAAAGAGTGGTGTGAAGTGTCTGTAAGTAAAACTGAAATTTAAGAATTATAAATTGAGAAAAATAACGTAATGTAATAAATGTTGGTCTAGAAATTCACCACTCAATGTGAAATCACGCTGGAGCATAAAGTTTAAACCTCTTCCAAAGTAATCATCACTAAGTTTAGAAAAAATTCACACGAAAGAATAACATAATTTCAAAGAATAATCAAATACGTTGATAGAAAATTTATTGTTTGTTTGAGCTCTATAACGTTCATTTTATAGCTACAAATAACAGAAAAGTTTTCTATGAACATATTTAATTGCTCTTTTAAATTATGGTAAACTTTTTAGGAGAGTTCTTTCCAAATTTAGTGATAAATGCTTTGAAAAAGGCTCAAGCATTATTGTTACTTTTATACTCTTTAGATATATAGCTATAGAAAAAATGTGTAGCCTGATTAACTAAATGGAAGTATAAGAATAAAAGCGCAACTTAAATAGAAATAGAGAGGAACAATTACATAATAGAGCAAAGATTAAGCGAGACTAAACCTCTTTAGGTGCACGAAGATATAGTCTTGAAAGTTAAATGTACAAACGCGAAAGGAAACCTAAAAAATTTGAGTTAGGGTAAAATATTCTTCATATAGACCCAGAATATATTGTTTAGGTTGCTCCGAAGACATTAAGCAAGAATTAAAATTTATAATAAAGAATGTTCTAGAAGCATTTAAACTATTTACATACCGAGAATAATTTTAGCAACATGGATGCCAGCTTTCGAACAATGATGATACATTCGAGCTACGAACTTGAAATGTAGGATTTCATTATGTACGTTACATATACGCACAAACCAATTCTGTACTGATTTTATTAAAGTGAATCAAAAACCACGAATTTAGTGCAAACTTGAAGTAAAAATAAAATAGGCAAATTAGAAAGTCGAATTCCAATAGATTTAGTTATAAAATGTTTATACACAAAGAGGAAAATAAATGTTCGATAATAAGTAAACACGAAAGCTACAAATGAAAGTGTAAAATTCATATAAGGGTCCAACTTCCATCATCGCGGCATACTTTGTACACCATGAACATGGGGACTTCATCGTTTATAGGTTCAAAGGCACATGTGTTACCCATTCAAAGTCATTTCTCGTTAACATAGTCTGCCCAAACTACAGAAATCATCGCACAGATCCATTTGTTCTTAGATTTGTACGCACGACCAATTACGATGTGAATAAACATGGATTTGAACATTCTGGACAAACAATGGTAGATACACTCTAGCGAATATCCTACGTACATACTACAAAGTAAATTAACAAATCTATGAATGGTAGAACTTAGAATTAAGCGATAACGATAGATATGACAATGTTGTATGTAGTCTAGAAAACATTTAAGTTAAAGAAAAGCTCACAATTGTTCTATGACCATTGCAATTAGCTTCCAATGTTACTCGGAAGACAGGATTACCAATACGTGAAGTCTCTAAGTTAAATGTATTTGACTCAAACGTTACTTCCATGCCTGAACAAATCAGCCTTAATGTTCTGGTCTTCTCCCCAAAGCAGCTCAATTTCTGTGTATTAATCCCAGCTGCTGCCGTCTATTTGTGTGTATGTAAATATAACAATTGCTGGCAGCTTCAATTCCTCCTCTCGATTTCTGTATGCATCTCTCCCGATTTTCTGTGCTATTGAGCCTCAATAATTGACCCCAAAGTGGAGTCCAATTTGCTCCCTAGTTCGGTCTGCTCCCTCGTTCGGCTCCCCCCTCCCTCACTGCTGCTCGACATAATATTTATACTACAAAAACAACATATAAGTATTTAAAAGAATCATTGTACAAAGAACTCTAAAGAAATTAGTAAACAAATCTACAATAGAAAGTCGATTAATTTGTAGATTAATTATTTTTAAAAAGTCTATGACCAAATTTCCAAAAAGTAGAAATTAAAATATGACCTAATGCTGATGCCATATGTTTTCATACCAATTTTACTCTCTTTATCCTCTTAAACACCATGCTATTGCATTCTTGCAGGGATTTCTTTGTCTTGTGTCGGTCATTTTCCATATTTCCACGCTACCTCTCATTGATGTTGTTTTGCTCACTGCTTTGACTTTGTTCGAAGTTGTAATTTAAGAAAAATATTTATGTTCTAATTACGCAATGCTTTATTTTTCTAAGTATTATGTGTACTAAAGAATTGAGTAGAGTAGGCATTGATAGAAACATAGGAATATGGGTCTCATTTCGTAGATCACGTGAATTTATATAAATTGGGTTCATGGAAAAGTTGTCTTGAATGATTATGTCAAGTTCGTGTGGTTGAAATGAGACCTATGTAATTATTTAATATTATATCAATTCTAAACCCCACAATGCTCCTTATCTTCTCATTTTCTCAAACTATCAATAGTTTTTTTTTTTTTTTTTTTTTTTTACATGAGTTTAGAATGAAAAAAAAATGTTCCACTAATGTCACACACACACACATACACATGTACTACAAGAAATAAGAACCATTATCTGCAGAAATTGAAGAAATTTTTTTTTTTTTTTTTTTTTTTTTTTTTTTTTTTTTTTTTTTTTTTTTTTTTTTTTTTTTTTTTTTTTTTTTTTTTTCCCACAATTCCCCTTTTTTTCTTTTTTTTTAAAAATAAAAATTTTTTTTTTTTTTTTTTTTTTTTTTACATGAGTTTAGAATGAAAAAAAAATGTTCCACTAATGTCACACACACACACATACACATGTACTACAAGAAATAAGAACCATTATCTGCAGAAATTGAAGAAACAAAAAGAGAAATGAGTCAACTTGCATGGAATAATTTATCAATTTCATTATAAGACCATCAAGGTGATGGGATATATATATAACACAATTTTATCTATGCACATACTTGTTACGTTAAATATGAGGTAAACAAATGTATGCAACTACTAAATTTAATACCAGGAAAGTGTAAGAAAAAAAATTCGTTATTTTCATTTTATGAGTTTCCCTTTAGAGTTACTATACTATTTATGCAGGGTCATAAACATACTGAGACCTCAACATATTTTCACATGCTATCAATGAATCAATATTTTCCCCATTTTCCTTCATTATAATGAAATCAATCAATTACAACTATAACTCTGAATTCCAGTAAAATATAAACCCAAACCTCTAAATAGCAGAAGAAAGAGGAAAACATAGAAAAATAGTGAAGCCTAATGGTAGGGGGTGTTCGGGGGATGTATGTCCGGAGCTCGACCAAAAGTATAAGGATGCCATTGAAGCGCTCGAAGGTGGTGGACAAAGGAACGCAACCAAATTGCACATGCATAAAGCCAATTCTACATTTGACAGATGAAAAACGAATTCTGTTTCTGAAGTAAATTAATCAATAACTACAGCTCTGAATTCCATAGAAATACAATGCATTCCAAATTTAACCAAAACCCCAACCTCTGAATATAGCAAAAGGGAAAACATACGAAAATGGTAAAACCTAATGCTATGGGGTGTTCGAGGGACGTCTGTCTGGAGCTCAACGAAATGTATAAGAACCATTGAAGCGGTCGAAGGTGATATATGAGACATGGCAAACAAAGGAAGGCAACCAAATCACACATGCACTAAGCCAGATCCACATTAGACAAATAGAAAACAAATTTAGCTTCGAATTTCAGGGAGGAAAAAGCAAACCATGCAGCAAAAAAAAAAATCTTTCGAACCTGGAACTACACAGTGAAATCAAACAAATATACCTTCGATCTATAGCAAAGATCTACATTACTTACCCAAGGAATTTTTCTCAACAATTCTTTCGGTTGATCTACAATGAAAATTTCAAACTCTTGCAAAAGAAAAAAAATAGAGGGTTAGAACCTACAAGCGAAGAAAGCAGTGAAAAAAAAAAGAGAAGATCCTGCAAAATTGGAACCACACAGTAAAATTGAACCAACATACCCTCGACTAAACTACCTGATAAGATCCGATTCCAAAAAACCAGCGTCAAATAATCGAGGGTTTTCGTCAATTGCAGATAAAGAAAATAAAAAAGGAAAATCAGAGAGAAGAAATGAGCAGATCGATGGCGGGAAATACAGCTTAATGGCTTAAATTGAAGGAGGATTTTCTAAATTAGTCTAAGAAATAAAAACATTTGAAAATTAGCCTCCAAACAATCAATTTTCCAAAAATATCCTTAATAAAGATATTGCAACCAAAGCCACTACAATGTCTAAAAACTTTCAAATAGGTCCTCAAGAAAATATAGATCATAAATTTTTAATAAATCTAGATCCAAATATTATACAAAATTTTATTGATCTAAAAATCTATACAGAAAACGAATTAATCTATTTAGAAGAAGATCTGAAGACTTCTTTATAGAATATTTAGACCCAAAAATAAAAAATAAAAATGATTCCATAGATAACGAAGCAATCAAAATGGAAAAAGACATATATAAATTAATTCTTAATTTAAGAAGGAGAATTGAAAAATTAAACATAATTATTCAAGAAAAAGTATTAATAAAAAATAGTGAATTTTATAAATTCTATTGTGACATTTTAAATACTTATGAAGAATCTAATTGGCTCAAAAATATTAACCCCTCCGCTGCACACTCCGA